CTTCCTCCAAATCTAAGTTAGGAGACGGTTACATAATCAGATTTTGGAAAGATCTTTGGGTTGGCTCTCTCTCTTTAGACATTCTCTTCCCCACCCTCTTCCATTTAGCCATAGATCAAGAAGCCCTAATTGCGCATTACCGAGATGGCTCTTCTCTGTCTGGACACCAATCTTTAGAAGGAATATCAATGACTCGAAATTCCCTATTAGGATATGGCTATCTTGGGTTCATATTGATATACATCATTATGGATGTATATGTATATATCTCTTGATAAGGTTAGATATCTAGAAGATAGAGACCAAGTTACTTGGTCATCAAGTTATCATACCATAATTATCTCCTCTAATTGTGTGATTGTCTTCTATATATAGAGGTACTCATTGATGTAAACATTCATCCAAAATAATGAAGATGTAGCCAGTTGGAGCTTTGGATCCGTGGACGTAAGGCTTCGACCTGAACCACATAAATATTGTGTTATCTCTTCTTCTCTCCATTATCTATTCTATACTCACACGAATTCTAACATGGTATCAGAGCCAGGTTCCTTTCTTGGTGGTGCTGCTCAAGTCTTCTTTGCAGAGAGCTAATTGTCTATCTCAAATAAAGAAATTGGCTCAACTTTGTGAATACGAGGAAGAAGAGCTAGAGAGACAAACAATACCCTGCATGTGTACGAGGCATAGTGATTGATTTCTTGAAGACTGGTTATTGCAATACCCTGGTGTATATAAGGCATAGTGATTGCCAAAGTTGTTTTCCCATACGAGAGAATATGATTAATCTAGAGAGAGAGAGACCGGTTCTAGAAGGTTGGGGTTTTGGCCACATCATCATCTTCTTGAACTCCTCAAAGCTGATGTTTCCATCACCGTCCAAATCGACTGTCGAGTTCATTCGACAACAATCCTGATACGAACACTTCTCACCAAGGTTCTTCAACACCATGTGAAGCTCCTTGGCTGATATCGAACTGTTCTTGTCGAGATTGTACATCGCAAAGGTGCCTCTCAAATCCACCATGCTCGCATTGCTATCCAAGGGCGCTTCATTGTTGATCATGACAAACTCCTTGAGCGAGATGAAGCCATCATCGTCGGTGTCGGCCTCAGCCATCACTCGAGCCACCTCTTCATCATAGGGGTTCGATACAAGGGCTCGGAGCATCACACCAAGCTCAGCCCCTAAGATTTGGCCGTCTCCGTTGCTATCAAAGCCGTTTGAAAACCTTCTCCACCCCTTCCTTGTTGGCTAAGCAGAGCGAGTTGTTCACATCCGCCACAACCATTATCGTCTCTTTCTGGCTCTCGTAGGTTGCAAGAATTTTGGGTATTTGGGTATTCCTGATAGTTGGCATGAGAGCTCCTCCCCCATATTCACAATTGGCAATAGTTTTTAAAACCAAGAGGTCATAGGTATCCATGAATTTTGGGTATTTGACGGCTTAATCAGCAGCCATGGTTGCGTGCACGTGTTGGGTGCCGGTAGTGTTTGGCGGTTGTGAAAAAAAAAAAAAATTGTATTTTGCAAGTTGGGTGTTTCTTCGCATCCACACCCAAATAAGATGAGTAGAAATGAAGTTATTGTTGATGATCAAGAGTTCCGTCTCCAGATAAAGAGATGAAGAAGATCGAAATTCTCGATGAGATGAGTAGAGATGAAGTTATGGTTGATGATCAAGAGTTCCGTCTCCAAATGAGGAGATGAAGGTGATTGAATTTCTCGATCCTGGTTGATGATCAAGAGTTCCGTCTCCAGATCAAGAGATGAAAATGATCAAATTTCTCAATTCTGGCTGATGATCAAGAGTTCCGTCTCCAGATGAGGAGATGAAGATGATCGAATTTCTCGATCCCGGTTGATGATCAAGTTTTCCGTTACTTAATCCTATTTGATGATGGAGTTTTCCGTTACTCCATCCTGTGTGATGATCGAGTTTACTCGATCCTGTTTGTTCCAGATGCCTATGTTTCAATGATTGAGTTTTTCATTACTCAATCTTATTGGATGATGGAGTTTTCCGTTGCTCCATCCTGTGTGCTAATCGTCGAGTTTTTCGTTACTCGATCCCAGATGTTCCGAAGAAGAGAGAAAGAAATATCCTTTCCTTTTAGAGAGAGAAAGCCTCTAGAAAGAAAAGAAACCTCTGAGAGAGAAGATCTTCAAAGAAGAAAACCCTGAAGAGAGAGAATCTCTAGAAGAAAGTAGAGAGCCCAATAAATATTATTTCTTGGAAGACCCTAGAGAGAGAAAGTCTCTAAAAGAAAGTAGAGAGCCCAAGAAAGGTTGCTTATTGGAAAACCATGGTAACCTGTGAAATTTATCTTGGATTTGATCACTATTCGTTTTCTTTTTTTTTTGGCAGCTTAGTATTGTTCCAACTCCAACGGCTTTATGTCAAAGCATCTTGAGTTTGAGGGGGAGTGTTAGGATATAGATATCTCAGGTTCATATTGATATACATCATTATGGGTGTACATGTATATATCTCTTGATAAAGTTAGATATGTAGAAGATAGAGACCAAATTAAGTTATTATACCATAATTATCTCCTCTAATTGTGCGATTGTCCTCTATATATAGAGATAATCATTGATGTAAACATTCATCCAAAATAGTGAAGATGTAGCCGGTTGGGGCTTTGGATTCGTGGACGTAAGGCTTCGGCCTGAACCACGTAAATATTGTGTTCTCTCTTCTTCTCTCCATTATCCATTCTATGCTCGCACGAATTCTAACATTCCCTACCCTTAACTCTCTCTTCAAACTTTTGATCCCTGTTTTCTCTCTTCTTTCTAGACAAGACTCCCTAGCATGGATGCCAAATCCTTCGAGCTGCTTCAAAATTGCCTCTTTTACTCTACCCTCCTTCCCAACTTGAGCCCTTCCCGCGTTCTCAATAAAGTGTGGTCCTTTTCCATTCCCCACAAGGTCCAATGCTTCTTGTGAATTCTGATCCAAGGTAAAGCATTAATCGTGGATCAGCTACAGAGGTGAGGTATATCCCTGCCTAACCGTTGTATCCTCTGTCCGCAGGATGAGGATTCCATCCCTCACCTATTCATTCACTGCCCTTTTTCTTTTTCAATGTGGTTATCCTTTCTAAAACTATTTGGAATTCAATGGGTTAGCCCTCAATCAATAATGGACCTGTTCCTGGCCTACATGGACCATCCCTTCCCCAAAAATGGTAGAAAACTCTAGAACATGGCCATTGTGACCATTTTGTTGTCAATTTGGCTTGAAAGAAACGCAAGAACCTTTCGAGGTCTTGCAAAATCCCTACCTTCCTTTCTGGTCTCGGTTATCTCTTTGGCTTCCTTCTGGGTTAGTAGTATCCTAGCCTTTTCTCACTACCCCATCTCTCACCTCCAGGTTAGTTGGCATGACCTTCTCTTCCTGACCTCACCTTCCCTCTCCAATAGGAGTCTATGGAATCCTCCTCCTCCATAAGTGATTAAACTCAAAACGAACGGAGCCTCTTTTGGTAACCTCGGTCCCTCAGAGGATCCCTAGCAAATTCGAAAGGAATATTTCTCCTTTTCTCGGGTCCACTGGGAACTTCAGACTCAAATAACACAAAAGCCTCCACTTTATTGGAAGGCCACAAGAAGATTCACCTAGCTCGTTGCCAATTTTTGGCAGTGGAAGTCGGGTGCGACTCAAGAAACATAATTTCATGGGCTACCAATTTGGTCCAGCCCCTTTGGAGATTGGTGGCTATTTTTGACCTCATCACCCTTGTTTGCAGCTACCTCCCAACCCTGACCTTTACCCACATCCACAAAGGCACAAACTCAGTGGCCAATGCTCAGGCTAAGGGAGGAGCCTGAGGCGCCATTCCCACCCTGAAGTTCTTGCTACAATCCTCTGCCTCTAGGGACCTCTTCATGGCTCCTTAGTGGGAGCAACTATTCTGCCCTTGCAAACATAGAATGCCCATCACAAGTTACAGGTATGCCCGACAATCATAGCTCTCCCTCCTCTCTCTCTTCTCTCTATTTCTGTATCTCTCTCCCTATATGTTTCCTCTACCTCTTCTCCCTTTCCTATTGGCTCTATTTTACATGCAACCTTCCCCCGTGCAAACAAAAAAAGGAGGGGGAAAAAAAAGAGAGACAGAAAAAAAGGATGAAGAAAAAAAAAAAAGGACTTTACCCCCTTCCTCTTATACTCTATTCTGGTTCCACCCCTCTCTCTCTCTTACTCTCTCTCT